GGTGCTCCTAGAGAACCTGTATGTGGGTTGGTGTCACTTTGAAACTGGGGAGAGGCTGGGGTAGAAATGGGGTATGGGGATAGATGCTGGGCCCAGAGCAGTGGGCAGCTGCCTGCCTTCATGGCCACCCTTTTTCTTCAGAATAAAATGAACATAAATGGGGAGGGGCTTTTCCACCTGATCGGCCCTCCACTAGGGTGGTTTATGGGTCAATTCCCTTTTAAATCACCAGCTGGCTGAGAAAATCCACTCTTTGAGATACCCTAGGGGCAACTCTAAGTCAGGGTTGACTGAAGGAAACAGGATATGATTCCACAGGAACTTGTGGCTCTGCTTTAAAAAAAAAACATCATTTTAGGGGCACCTGGGTGGCTCAGTCGGTTAAGTATCTGACTCTTGGTTTCGGCTCAGGTCATGATCTCAAGGTCGTGGGATCAAACCCGACGTCAGGCTCCATGCTCAGGGCGGAGTCTCCTTGTCCCTCTCCTGCCCCCTCTACCCCTCCCCCAACACACTCATGCTCTCTCTCTCTCTATCTCGTGCTCTAAAATAGATAAATAAAATCTTGAAAAAAATTAAAAAGCATCATTTTATAATTCAGTGAGGCTCCTAAGGAATCTCTAAAAAAAATATAGCAGCAATTGGTTGGTTGGTCTGTGGTCAATTTTCTTGGTTCATTATTTAAAATAAAAGGAACAAAAGACCCAATATTTGAAAAAAGCAAGCATTTATTTAAATATGTGGTTTTCATTCTAGAGCTTTGAGGAAGTTTAATTTAAATCTTCTTCCCAAAGTAATCTGGCTACAATTTAGCTTTCATCTCAAAATCGGAAGCAATAACACCTATGTTGGTACTTGATACTATAAGCAGAGGAATGTTTCATTGCCAATTCACACATCTCCCTCATTTTATGCAGAAGAAAATGGACACCCAGGGAGCGACTTGGCCAACACCTCCCAGCTAGTGAGAAATACGGAGTCTCTATTACACATGAGCAGGTAGAAACTGCCCAGCAATTACTGCAGGTCGGTGTGCCTGGGTGCTTTACATACATTACTTATTTTAATCCCCACAAAGTAGATATTAAAGAGCCAACCATAGATACCATTTATCAAGTCTTTGTACTAAGTACTTTAATTCCTTTTCTCAAATCACCACAACAACCCTCTGATATAGATACAACCAGTCCTCTTTTACAGAGAGAGACCTCAGGTGCAAAGAAGTCTTGCCCAAGGCCACTTTTAAATAAGAAGTAAGCCAGGGATTCCCACCAAGTTGTACCTCTCACATGAAGCATCTGAGTTCTTTTCACTCTCTAAGAGGTTTTCAAAGTGCAGGTCACAGTGGTGACAGTGACCTCAATTTGGTGGGTTCACAAGCATTGAAAAATAAAGAAAAAGAACAGAATGCAACAGGGATAGCCTAATTTAAAAATAGAGTATATCACATCAACTATACATATGTCTGGTGTGTGTGTGTGTGTGTGTGTGTGTGTGTGTGTGTTTACAACACAACCAAGCAATTAACTAAATTCTGGCACTGTCTACCTAGAAATAACATCATGTCCCACAGGTTAGGAGCTCAGTCCTATAAGATTGCTCTCCAACCCCCTTCAGACGACATTTGAAAAGTCCAGGTTGTCACTGGTGCTTTTGACCAACCTGCTATATATACATCAGTTTCCCATGATACCCTCCTTGGGTTTGATTAATTTGCTAGAGTGGCTCACAGAACTCAGAGAAACATTTTACTTACTAGATTACCTGTTTATCTTAAAAGGATGTAATTCAGGAACAGCCAGATGGAAGAGATGCATAGGGCAAGGTATAGGGACATGGAGCTTCCATGCTGTCTGAGTAAGCCACCCACCCTCCATCTCCATGTGTTCACCAACACAGAAACTCCTTTTTGGGTGTTTTTGGAGGCTTCATTACATAGGCATGACAGGTTAAACCATTGGCCATTAGTAATTGAACTCAATCTCCAGCCCCCCTCCCCTCCCTGGAAGTGGTGGTGGTCAAGAGAACTGAAAGTTCCAGCCCTCTAATTCCGTGCTTGGTTCCCCTGGCAATCAGCCCCCATTCTTGGGTGCTTTCCAAAAGTTACCTTATTAACATAAACTCTGGTGGAGTTGAAAGGGGTTTGTTATGAATAACAAAAGAAAACTTCATGGCTCTTATCACTTAGGAAATTACAAGTTTTAGGAGATCTGTACTAGAAATAGGACAAGATCAATATATATTTATTATAAATCACAATGTGTGTGTATGTATGTTTTGATGTTTTTCTTGTGGGGCATGGTCAGACTTTGAAAGCTTCTGCACTAGCACACAACTAATCTGTCTAAACCTTAGCAAAACATTGGTATACAGTATAGTTAACTACCTCCCTGCAGATTAGTAAAGCAGTGCCCAGATCTGCTGTGGATCCTTCCCATCACATTCTCAATGGCAGCAGTGTTGTATTCCATCAAACTTGATGGTCAGAGGATTCTTTCTCTACCCTGACACCAACTGTCTGACATGTGGTCCTAGGAATGTGGGTTGACACAACCAAGTCCATGCCCAGGCATTTCAGCAAGCCCATGTCTCATGCGTGACAAAGTCTATAAATCAGGGCATCATCATTCAGTGTAAAAGATGACAGTCTATACCTATACACCTTGAGTCATTGTTATTTTTCTGCCCTTAGATTGTCATGAAATGACTCTACAATACACCACACTTACTATAGACCAACAGAATAGTTGGAAAGAGCACAATTCATTTTATAAGCAGTAACAAGTTTTACAGTGAGAGCAAGTTTGGTTAGAAATAGTGGTTACTTGGGGCGCCTGGGTGGCTCAGTCGTTAAGCATCTGCCTTCGGCTCAGGTCATGATCCCAGCGTCTTGGGATCAAGCCCCACATCGGGCTCCCTGCTCAGTGGGAAGCCTGCTTCTCCCTCTCCCACTCCCCCTGCTTGTGTTCCCTCTCTCACTGTGTCTCTCTCTGTCAAATAAATAAATAAAGAATCTTAAAAAAAAAAAAAAAGAAAGAAAGAAATGGTGGTTACTCCTTACGAAGGTCCCATATTACATGTTAGGGATCCAAAGACAAGGCTAGAGCTCAAAGTCCAGCAGGTGTTTCAGGCATAGTAAAGTCACAGGGGAGGAACTAGAAAGGGATGTGATGTACATTAACTGCTGTAGTAATTAGTTCAACATTATAGAGAAAATGTGAAGAAAGAGCCTTGGTAGTGTGGTGAAAATAACTAGATTGGTTTGAATCCAGGGACTGGTATTTACTTCTGTATATTGACTGAAATGAGAAATATCTACTAGTATCTGGTCAACTATGTGTAATAGCAGGCACTAACAATTTAGATTCCTAGTGAAATGATATCCTATTTTGAAAGAAACAAATATGAACTTGGAATTTAAGATTGCCCGTGTATTTTAGAGCTGGATGCAAAACTGGTATCCCAAATAGTCCTTTATTTGTTAGCCTGCTTTCTGGATATTCTAGATTTGGGATGACATCAATGAGAAAGATCAAAGATCCACGATTTTCCCTTTCATTCGTTGAACATTTTTGAATTGCTCTTTCTGTGGTTGGCATTGTGAATAATAAAAACCACCTTACCTTGAGTGCTTTCTGTTAATCAAGTGAGAGGCCTCTCGCATTGTCAACAACCAGCTGAGAGTCTATCACTCTCAGCTGTTTTACAAGGAGACTTCTCATCTGTTGTCTGGGGAGAGCTCATGCTTCACCTTCTAGCTCTGATTTACAGAGAATCTTTATGCCTACTCATTACATTTCCTTAAACAATACTTTTGCAAGAGGGCCCTTTCAAAATCTATACTCCCTTTTGTGACTGTATAAAAGAACTCATTTAAACAGAACCTGGCAGGCAGGAAGAATTCAGATACTGGCTAATTATCTGCTTGTTCATCATTAGTCAATAACTTTAAGATTCTCTGGTTGCTATCAATGTTATATAAATTCACTTCCTTGTTAAAACTGTATTTTCTTTTATTTTTTTAAAAGATTTTATTTATTTGAGAGCGAGAAAGAGAGAGAGAGCAAGCACAAGTGGGTGGAGGGGCAGATGGAGAGGGAGAAGCAGACTCCCAGCTGAGCAGGGAGCCGGATGCAGGGCTCGATCCCAGGACCCTCAGATCATGACCTGAGCTGAAGGCAGACGCTTAACTGACTGAGCCACCCAGATGCCCTGAAACTGTATTTTCTTGAAAGTAAAATGAGTAGTTTTGCCTCTTTTTGGGAATTAAATGCCTAATATTCTGAAAAAGAGCCCCAGCCCTGTGTGGTAGATAGTGCCATGGGGTCCACGTGCTAGGGGAGGAAATTGAAGCAGAGTGGTTCAGTGAACTTGCCCAAGGTCTCAGAGCTGGCAGGTAGTGAGCAGGGCTTCCGAACACCAGCTGGCTTCAAGCCTGTACCGGTGGCCAATCCGTACAGCCTAAGGAACCAGCTGCTCCAGGATGCGATGCGCTAGAATGGACCTGTGATCACCAGCCTGTGAAAGTGGACTCTGGGTTTATCTCATCTCTGTCTTTAGCTCACTTTCTGGCCTTGGGTAGGTCGCAACTTCTCCAGATTTTCATTTCTTAGCCCAGAGGGAAAAAAAGGAGATATTGAGTCAAATGATCTCTTCACTGTTTCCCCTTAGCTCAAACTCCAAATCTTTATTGTGAGTCAACCAGGGAGGAGGGGGAGTACAATATTAATAGCCGTTCATTATTAAGGAAAAATGATACCTGCTTTTGAGAAAGAATTTTTGATGTTTCTAAAGGAAGCCCAAAGGGCAAACTGTAACAGATTTGCAGAGGGGTTGGGAAAAACCCAAGAAAGAAAGAGAAAGATGAGGGGCTAGGCATGGTGCTCAATGAGAGCACTGAAAACAAAAACAAACAAAACAAATAAATTGGGGGAAAGAAAAATATACAGCCCCAAATAATATAGGCTGTCTTATCAAAATTTCTTTCACTTCAGAATGAAGAAATACTGGAAGGCAGTCACGAAGGGAAGAACCCTGAGCCAGAGCAGCCCGACAGTCATGAAAGTCTTTCCCCCACCAGGTAAGATTGCAGATCCCTGGCCGGAGTCATTTTAACCCCTTGAGGTGGTGGGGAGAGGGGAGGGTATCCTCTGTTTTAAACCTCATCACTCATTTTTCCCAGATAAAATCACATATTTACTCTGTATACTAACCTTCATTTATGTACCTGAGAACAAACTCACAGATCTCATAAAAGCAACAAGCAAGAACTGCACATGACTTATAAACCAAGTTCCAAGGATACTCAGTATTTTAAAAAATGAATTATCAAGAAAAAACAAAATAGTAAATGTAAACTAATGTTGATAGATTGAATTATTGGTTTGAAAGCATTTAAAGGGAAGAGGTTCCCCAAAGACACAATTTATACAAATTTAATGCTATTTTCAGACCACAGGAAGGTATTTGCATGCATGTGACTACTCTGCCTCAGAAAGCCTAAATTAGGGAGGTAAACACCAAGAGCAGAGGGGAAATTCATTAAAAAAACACCAACTTCTTTATACTCAGAATCTCCATCATTAGCTCTATTCCAGCAATCATCACATTACTTGTATCCACACCATTTAACATACTGACTTACGAGCCACTCTTGTGCCCAGGGACTATGATAATACTTAGCTCTTAGCAGGCCTCCAAAATATGCCTGTAGAATAAATGAACCAATGTCTTGAGGAGCTTGCCGCTTGATTAAAGCCCATATTAGTTTACTAGACTACTTTATACTCTTTCACTTTAAGGTGTACTCAAAGAAACATGTGGGCTCTTACTGACTGAAATATTATCTCTCAGTTAGAGCAAATGGCCCATGTCAGCATATCTGAAAGTGTCTTTAGTTGGGTTGTCTCAGAAAAGCACCACTTGGCAATGTGTTCTGTTGTTGTCCTTAAGTGACAGTGTATCTTTTTTTTTTTTTTAAGAGAGAGAGTGTGAGCAGGGAAGGGGGAGAAGGGCAGTGGGAGAGGGAGAATCCTAAGCAGGCTCCACGTGCAGCACAGAGCCCGACTTGGGGCTCGGAACTCCTGACCCTGAGGAGATCATGACCTGAGCCAAATCAAGAGTCAGATGCCTAACCAACTGAGCCATCCAGGCGCCCCAGAGGGGGGAAAATGATTTTAAGCACTACGTGAGAGCATTGTGCACAGTCCCTACCTTTAGAACTTCTATTTTAGCTAGGAAAAAACTCATGAAACAATTAGTTGGTAGCACAATAATATATGTGATTAAGTATGTATATTTTGGGAGGAGGGCAGGAAAGAGATGCTTAATGAAAGAGCACAGTTAGGGTTGGATTTTCAAGGCTTCAATAGGTCCAGGAGAAATGACGTTCCATTGGTTAACTTACACAAGTCATGAATGAGATGTGTGACTGATGATAGTGGTGGTGGGAAAAATAACGCTATGGGGACTCAAGAAGGAAAGGAAGATTCCATAAGGCCTTGGGAACCAGGTCAAAGAGATAATTCGATGCTCAAGACAGTAAGGAGCCTTTAAGGTCTGGAGCAAAAGAATATCTACAACCAAAAAAATCACATGCTTCCAAGTTTTAAAAACATAAATAGATTGAATCACACCATATCTTGGGCTAAGAACTGAGCAGGAATTGGGTGAAAAGCAGAGAACATACTATGTACAAATATACTGAAGCAGCACTGAGACAGAACCAGTCCTAAGAACATTCCTGACTTTCGAAGACTAGAGCTAAATGTGAATCTACTTTCCGACACCTAATGATATCAAGTAAAAGGAAAATATGACCCTTTCCAATGGTGTCTGGTGGCCCCATGGCTACAGGTGTTCATCTCTTTCCTGAACAATCGATTAGAAAAGAGAATTTCCCCAACTTAGACATTCCAGCATATGTCCTTTAACAACCAAAAGAAGCATTTTATGTGGCTCCAGGGCAGAGGACACAATAATCCTCTCTCCTGGGTACAACAGCAAGTCTGATTAAGGATTAAGATTGTGTACTTCAGACCTCCCTGACATTAAACAGAAGAAGTTGATTATATAAACAAATGGTGTTCATACACAGGAGTTTAAAAAGCTTGTGAAAATACACATCTGCTGACAATTTTCAAGTTGTTTATTGGAAATCACAGATTTATTTTTAAAAACTCACTAATTATTTTGCCATACAAGAGCAAAATTCAAATAATATAAATATTTAACATACTGGTATAAAATTAATAATATGAAAAAAAAGATGCAAACCAACCAAGAGGTAAAAAGTTTTTAGCAATAACACTGTGTACAACAATCGTCTACTCAAGTGACCATCCAGGCTGATAGTTTATTTTCCCTTTGTTGACGATTTTTGAGACAGCCCTGCATTAGAGCACCGAAAAGTTTTTTCCTTCTTTTTTTAAAAGGCTGGAATCCTTTTATTTACAAATATTCTTCTCAGTACTTTAAATCCAATGAAGGAAGCATCTAGCAATTTCCTTCTTATTAAAAAAGGAAGTGCCTTCATATTTCCTTTAAATTTAACTATGTTCCATTCTATTCGAAGCAAAAATAAAAAGATGAACACAGTTGAGGAGAGCTCTTTTGCAAATAAATAATTGTTTCACAAAAGTATTGCTGTAAACAAGATCATTTCAATGGCCAGAGAGACACTTATGTTTTCAACCAATGGAAAATTTTAACAGTTACAAGTATAGATAGGCAGGGTATGTATGGCCAAAAGGCAAATGGTTATTAAAGAATCAACTAATAAAAATTAATTATAAACCAGCTTTGTCAAAATGTGATTTTGTTATCTACAGGTTTTCAAATTGGTCAGAAAATTTAAACTGTCATGACTTATAAACGCTGCACCTACTCTGAAACTACAAACCCAGAATGGCTGACACTGTAGTTTTGACATTAGTTAAAAATTCTAAATTATCTGAGCAATCAATGTAAACAAGCCTCAATTTTCAAAATAGAAAAGAAATTAACAAAAAATTTCTGTAAACATTAAAAAGCTATCTGCAAAAAATTACAATATATCATCCTCCAGTTGTGCTTACCAAGAATTCTTTTAGTTTTGTTTCCTTCTGCATGTTTCAGACCTCATCTAATGACATGAGACGTCTTAGTTTTCCCTAACAGGCACCTCTGCAGAGAGAGAGGTTTTATAATCAGTTCAACTGCTTTTGCTGAAGTCACCATTTTGGACATCATATAATCCCTGCGACAATAGACATCACCTAGTTCTTTCTGTAGTGAGGGGAGGTTGTTGCATCATGACCACATTTCTATCCTTTCCTGTAAGATAAATGCAACTTACTCTTTTAGAGCTCAGCCACATTTGAACAAGAAGCTTCACAAATATTTTAAACCTCCTTCTGGTGACATTTCTATCACTTCATTCTGCTTTCAAATGTGAAGTATTTCAAAGTTGATGACACCTCCGATAGTCATTTTGATGAAAGAACTGATTTTTTTAAAGATAAGATAGCTTTGATTTGATGTCGAATGCTCTCAGTTTTAAAACCTGACAAAGTACTATGGTTTATGAGACCTTGTTGGGGAGGGGTAGGCTAATTTTAGTCATTGTTACAATAATTTACACACTAAGAATTTTATTTTATAAATTACAGAAAAGGAGAAAAGAGGCTTTTAATGTTCTTTCTTTCTTTTTGAAGTCCTCTCCATTATTCTATTCCTCTGTGCAAACTACATTCAAATAACTACCTTAAAAACAGACCAATATTGAATATTTAAAAATCAGCTGAAAAATTCATTAAAATTGGCTGATTTCAACTAACAATGATTTCTTCCTAGGGAAAGACCCTGTGAGTAACACACTGCCCATGATTTGTGTCATATCTAATAATCAAAAAATTCACATGAAGTACCAGTTAGGGCAGAGCGAATCACAGCTCAAATTTCACATTACACTTTGAAAAAAAGATATAAATATGTTTTAAATGACTCTAACACTATTTAGGTAAATTAGCTACATGGATGTGACAATAAGTGATTTGGCTCTTTATAAAGAAATCGTGTTACATTTTTCTAAGTCTCCTCTGAAGAACAGGAACCTTCTTTTATCAGGTTCAAGTACTTTCTCCTATGCCAATCCTCCCCTGCCCCCACCTCCCCCAGTCAAGTGCTCTCTAATAAAAACTAATTTGTAAACCTGGTCCGACAATATATTCATTTCTTTGAAATGTTGTACTATACATTCACTTGGTATTTTCCAAAGGCAGTTACTCTAACACCAAGGCACCTTAATTAACTTCTCTATGCCTCAAATATACATGTGGCATCGAGTGAGAACTTGAATTTCCCTTTAGTTTTGTCTTCATAAACCTTTTCTAAATATAAATTCCTTGAAATGAATTTAGGCGATGAAGTAGTTAAGTTACACTGAATAGCTTCTAGAATCAAAGAAACATTCTGATAGACTGGGTTTTCAAAATATTTGTTTTTTCATACTCATTTTACTTCAGGTATCGACAAATATCTAGAGTTTTCTCCATCCATGTTTGGCTCAGTGACAGTGAAAACATACAACATTCAAGTACTGTTAGACAAAGGCGGCCCTACAAGGATACGTGTCAATATAGGTCAATTTGCAAAGGAGAACTATCTTAATTATCCTGCAGTATATTTGACCAAAAAACCCTTTCGAAATCATTCTGACTTTAGGGTCTGTGGCATCCCTCCAGAGGTCCTGAAGGTCTTGTACGTGTCCATGAGACGTCATCATTTTATCGTAGATGCAGGGATGATAAGGAGTTTTACCTTCCCCGGAGAAAAACACATGGTGTTGTGGCACTATCCCCATTTTATTGGCACAGAGGCCCATGAACACATCATCTATGTAAAGACTAGAGTTAAGTGTCTGTGACGCCTCGTGGACTTTGGCGGCTACATCGCTGGAGATCACGTAGGCAGCCCCAGCAGTATAGTCAGGGTAAGCCGGCCACTGGTACATTTCATAGGGGACATAGTATTTGCTGCGTTTGTCTCTCACAGGAGGAGCACCACGATGAACCCGACCAATCCAGAAGTCCTGAACACCAA